CGCACATTTAGCTCAGCTTCACACGGTTTTAACGTGCGTCTACCTTGTTAGTAATGAACTAATCTACAATTTGACCAATGCGGTACAGTAGGCGCTCGCTATAGTTCCACCTCGAGTTCAGAATTGGAGTGGGTGAGTGGGGTCGCCAGATGCGGAACTATAGCGAGCGTCTGCCCCCTACTCCTCTACGGCGCGCTCGCTCACACTTCTGGCCAGCCGGCGGCCTGGGGGGAAGGTGGCGTGGAGGAGGAGCAGAGGTAAGCCGCTTTCTCGCTCGGAGTGGGGGAATCAGGTCTGGTGGGGAGGAAGCGCCGGAGGAACTATGCTGGGCGGAACTATAACGAGCCCTCACTGTAGAGATGTGTTCCCCTCCGGGAACATGGTCTTCCTTGGCTCGAACAAGACGGGTAGCGGCGTGCACGATTCTGGGCGGTTTTCTTTAGCTAGCGACCTGAACATCAAGCTAAATGTAGCATAGGTGTGTGCCTCCCGCGTGACGAGAGCGATTTTTGGTATGTCACATATAATATTTCAAAGCGAGGGAAAATTTAGTAAATTTTCAACCCAATTTTGTGGACTAAAACTTTGATATTTTTTAAAAATATTCAAAATTTAGACTTTTAAAATCGCTCTTGTCAAGCAATAAATGCATCTCTTAAAAGTAAATGACAACATTTCATGTTGCAGGTCCATTTGTTGAGACAGAATCGTGAGCGCCACAAGGAAGTGTATCCGTCCTGTTCAAGGCAAAGAAGACCATGTTCCTGGATAGATACACACTTCTTTCACAAGCATCAAAATGTAGCTCGATTCAGTATACAATTGAAAGGGTTTGTCGCTCATGCCGATGAGATTCTTAGTTTTTTTTTTTTACAGAAGTAATCTTTCAAACCCTTGTTTTTGGCAGGTCTGCCGTGCTACAAGGCAAAAATAAAAATCGGTTCCGTACTAATCGATTTCGCAGGCAAATGTGGCCCCCCTGCCAAAAAATTAGCTATAGGATAAAATATTTAGTTGTACTGCTAAATAGAATTGGCGATACAGCTAGTTCATTGCTTCAGTTTGCTGTACAACAAAAGGTTTGGCACTGAAGCTGAAAAAAATAGCTAGACCTATGCTCACAATTTTTTTGCACCTGAGCTAAAAAAAATAGGTAGGGTGCTATATTTTTCTTTGCGTGTAGGATACACTTCGGAATCAGGACTCTTATTGTCTTTGGATCTTTGGATGGGTGTTAGAAGCCACGTGGAACCACACTGAGTTTGAAAACCCTTCGTCGATTAAAACAAGCAGGCCCGCCCTTCCGCCAAACGAAGTTGCCAGCTTCGCTTCGCTGCGCCGGCAACTCCGTTCGGCAGGGGCCGGGCCTGCTTGGCCTGCCGGCGGCGACGGTCGGGCCTGCGGCCCGACCATTACTGTAACGCAATTTGCTGTAGAACATAATCAAATGATGTAACGGGCCTTCGGCCCGCAAAGCCCGTCGTCCTTAAAATTTGCGCCGTAGACACGAGAAAGGGATGTAACGGTGAAACACCGCGACTACAACCCACCCTTCTGCTTAGAAAACGTTTTTTGGAGTGGGGGGAGGGAGTTTCTTACCTCTTTTGCGGTTCTGGGCCTTCTTTTACATTTAATTGTTCACTACAGCAATTTTTAACTTATTTTCGTCAAAGAAGACCCTTTAGCGCCTAAACGGTTAGAGATAGACCCAAACGGACGAAATTTTCGCCCAAATGACGCTACTTTGACAAGTTACCCCTTAGGAGACCATCCAATAGTTTCGAAAATTAATAAATTTATTTTTGGGCCACTTTCGTGATAGAAACTCCCTCTAGCGCATAAACGGTGAGATATAGAGCAAAACGGACGGCCGTAGGGCTCTACTTTGATGAGTAACCCCTTAGGAGCTCATAAAAATATTTCTTTTTTCTGACTTTTTTGACCTACCCCCTTTCCTTTGATACCCCCTTTTAGCCCCTTAGGGTTGGTTGCCAGGATTTGCCGTAGGCGTTTCGTTTTCTAGGAGTGAACCTTAAGGTACCCTGAAAATTTGAAGTCTCTAGCACATCTCCTTCTAGTGGAACAGACAGACAGACAGACAGACACACAGACAGACAGACAGACAGACACGAGGTCGTTTGCATAAGCCCGCTGGATAGCTTTTTCAAAGCAGAAGGGCGGGCTAAAAACAACATGTGGATTTTGCAATTAGCACATGGAAAGTTTACCACGTGGAAATCTCATAAGAAACCCACGTGGAGTTGTTGGTGGTTCTTTCAGCTGGCCTTCCAGCCGAACTCAGCTGTTAGCGCAGGAAAGTGGACCTGATAAAGAGGTTTGGTGAAATAAGAGCGGGTTACCTACACTGTGAGAAAAACAAACAAAGTCAACTGGCAGGAGCGGAGCGGTAGCCGTAATTATTTTCTAGACTTGTCCCTACCCTTGTTAGTTAATCTTCATATGGTTCAACGAAACGGGTCTTCCGTAGCTCTTCTCTGATGTCCGCTTTGGGGCTGAGTATCTGTAACCAGTTCCTATCATGTGCTTTTCCACAGTGTGTTCAAAGCTCAAGCACGGAGTAAATATTAACTGCATAACTTAATTCTTTATCTGTAAAAACTGAGATTTGAAAGCTCACTTGAGCTTGTATTCTTTTGTGGGTAATTTTGTATTCTTTTCCCAGACTCGTGTCGTAGTGGATACCCGTAGCAACAACCAATGGAAAGAAAATGCATTTATTTTCAACTTTCCTGGAGGTTCTTGTTCAGCCGCTTCTCAACACACCAAATGCTTTGAAACATTAACCGGGAAGCTACTCAGGAAGGAGAAACCATGTGGCCTTAATCCGGTAAGACTGTTCTTTTAGAACAGCGCACGTTGTGTCTTAGAGCGCTAAGCTTTTGAATATCATGAATCCCCAGAAGCGCATTTAATGCGGTTGGCGCTACTGGGGATAGAGATTTACTTGGCTGAGTATCGGTACGTAACAAGTGAACGAGAGTGCGCCATAAGGTGGATCGAGAATTTGGGATTACAAGAGCTTTCTATAAAAATAGTCCTTAACGATATACGAAGATTTGATGCGTCCTAATGACAAAGTTCGATCTGTTACGGTCCGGTTAAACAAAGTACGCTCAGCTCCGTTGCACAAAGTACGATCAGCTTTTGGACGCTTTCGAAAGACCCATGTTTAGAGCTCTAAGCTGCTCTGCAGTTTCGCTGTTTCATCATTTATGTTCTATAGTCTATCAGTAACACAGCAGCAGCTTTTTCTTTTTTTCTATCGGTAATTTTAGGGGCAATTCCAGGCAGAGGTGTCCGTACGTCGGTCAGTGGAGTAATGAGCTTCGCTGATGCTTAGCCAATTAAATAGTTTCATTTGATCCGAATTAGGTGCTTATGCTTCTTTTGGATCAGGGAATAATTCAAAGACCCCGTGGGATGGGGAACAAAATTGTGTTTGCACACTTACTACTGCCAGTCTACCAGACCGCAAAATGACCATCTTGATCCAAAGCTGATCCGAAACAGGTTAATATGTCCCTAATTCGGATCAGAATCGCGACCATATTCAAATTGCCATAACCCCGAAACGAGTCCAGTTACGGACACCAAAAAAAAATAATGTGCGTTTTGTTGAGGAAGATCTTACCTTTTAGTTCCCTCCTATCTGATTGTTGTAAACCCTGTGTGCTTGGGTATAAGACGGAAATCCAGAAATCTGATCCGAAATAAGGTTCAGTCGCTCTAGAATCCTAATCCGGGCGACGTTGGTTCATTCAAGAAAATCAAAACTGTTGGACCACTTTTCCGCAGACCCGACCGTGTCGGCACAATCGTCCACACCCAAGAGGGCTGCTGCATCGTTTCAGGTGAAGGAGACGATATGCATGTTCCTGGAGGGTGCGCGCAAACGGTTCGAAAGGAAAAATTAGGCTACATTCATTCTCTCAATAAAGCCTTGATGCTAAATAGATGCTGAATGTTTTTTTTTTTCTTTTGTAAATACTATTTACTCAAACCCTTGCAATTCACAGGTCCACCCCCCTCAAGAGATCAATTCTTCATTGACGGTTTTGAACATTAATTGAACGTTATCGATGTTTTTTATTTACAGGGTGTAAATATTTTATCCGACACACCGATGGATTGGTCATTTCCCTATTTTCCAATTATGCCGTACGGGACGTGGCGGTTTCGCCTTTCGTACGGACAAACCGGTCAGAAGCGGGCCTCCGGGTGCCATATCGCGGAAGCCGTTACTATTCCGAAATCTTAACTGGCGATGGTCATTATTGGATTATTAAAAATATCAGTGTTTTCCTCTCATGCATTTGTTTTACTGTATCGTGTGTACTTAACATAGAAAAACTAGTTATTTTTTTTACCATTATCTTCCTACTAAAATTAGCGAATGTTAGGGGATCTTTTAGAAGAAGTTGTAAACCAAATTTGGCGACAGTTGTAGACCATCTATTTTTGCTGTGGTAGTTACGCTTATATGATATATTTTGTCGATATTTTTGATTAAAGGGTAGGAAACACATATGCAACTTTTTCACATTGACGGTCACGAATCAGTTTTTTATCCCCTTTCGAATGATGTAGTCAGATTTTACCTCACTCTACAAATTCATAGAGTAATGCCTACACCTCCTTTACAAGCCGATATTTTGGCCTCAAAACTTCCTAAACAGTTTGTTCCAAAGAGCCCAGACTTGCAGTGGGTTCATATTTCATGAATATCTTTAATTTTCGAGAGTAAAAAAATAATAATCCGAAATCAGCTCCGAAATTTTGGGTCAATGATGTATAGCACTGATATCATATTGAATTTTCTGTTAAAAAGTTTGGAGTGCAGTACTTCCCCACCAGAAGACATAGGGTTGCCTGATGGTCGACAACACTATACAGAGGGCTTTAAAACGCCTCTTATTTTGTAGTGGCAAAATCCGTAAGGTTAGATCTTTGCCGAGACAGAGTTTGAAACGGGCTGCCCTAACAGGCCTGGCCCCTCCCGTCTTATGTACGGTCTGGAGCCCGTTGGCCCCGCCCTGCCCCGCCCGCTCTCGCTGGCCGCACGCCACGGCGGCCTGGTGGTGCCCCGCGCGCCTCCCTCGCCATACATCATCGCTGGGATGGCAAGGGCCAGCGATTGTTATTAACTGCATGCGGTGCCACGACGCCAGGATAGCAAATCGAGGCGAGGATGCCGCGGCCGAGGTCGCGAACGTGCCAATTGCTACTTGCGTGAAAACTGTCCAAAAAGTAAACGTAAGTCGTTAAGTGGGTGAGAATAAATAATTGCACCACTGGGAGTCTCGGGGGGGGGGACATGGCACTACTGGTCTGCTGGAGGGAAGATATCCAGTTACTCGGAAAGTAAGGTCGAGTGAGAAATGAAGCAAAACTGAGTGAGGCTGGGCGAAGCCGAGCGAGAAAGCGTAAAAGCAAAAGCGTAGATGTGAAAGAATAGCCTCATAGAATGGGCAGGAAAGGCCACACATCGACACTTGTCGAGAGACCCAATGACAATATTTTCTTGTTCCAATAGTTTAGGGACCTGCTCCTCCTCTAGAAATGTACTTTTCTGAAGGGAACTACTTAATGGGTCCACATCCTCTGGGTGCATACATCTGGTTGCATTTTATCTCAACGGATTCATATTTGAAAGGGTGTGCCGGGGAAAGTTCTATAAATTCAGTTGCATCTGAATTTCGTCCCAGCTGCAACAGGGGGAAAAAGAGATGACTTCATATAAGAACAGGGTTTAAGAATCAGGTAAACGTGTAATAACATGGAGTTACACGCTACAGTAACTGGGAACTGTCTCACCTTCTTAGCCAATTCGGGTGTATTCTTTTGACCTTTGTGCTCACACCTGCTTCTATGTGGTACATTTGCCGATGGTAAAGGATGTGGTCCTGACGGAAGTTATTGGAAACAATTAAGCACAACAATAATTAAGCAATAAAACGTAGCAAGTAGTCAATATTTACTTACCGGGCAATTAATAAGAAGGATACTTCAATCCACTTAAAGGCAACTGGAGAGTGGACACAGTAGCGGACACTGTCCGGTAAAAGGTGGCTAAGATTCTAATTCAGTTCCTCATATGTTGCGGGGGGGGGGGGGGCAATTTGGCTGCCGATGAAGCAGAGTTCAACTGTTTCTTTGGAAATAATATCCAACAAAGGCTGACATGTAGATGTTCCAGTTTGACAAAACCTAATGGTTTACCTTGACAACACCTGACTCGTTCGGGAGCTGGCTGATGGATTCTAATTTAATGGTGGTACCCTCAGGGTAGTTGAGGGACAACAATCCACAATTTAAACAGAAAATGGAGAATCATACATCAAAACATAGTTCTGGAAGGCCTCAATGGTGACTGTATCGGGCAGGCTGCCAGAGGGAAATTTAAGGGCGCGAGGACGATTAACAAGAAATTGTAAGCCCTCTTTTTCCTTGCCACTTTATTGTGGTGTCATCTTGAGAAGTTGTGTCCCAATTAATCCGCGACACTCCTTCCATTTCCTGTGCACACTACTTCTAAGGTGACAAGCCTTTCATCTGTCCTGTAATTCCGGAAAGAAGGAAGAACCAAACACTTTACAAGTGAAGGGAAAGGTACAAAAATTGAAAACTGCAGAGATTTCTGAAGTACCTGAGCACCTATCATGAAATTGTTTTGGACTTGACATACCTAAAGACCAAACAATTTATGTTTTACTTAAAACTACAAGTACTCTGTCAATCCGAATGTGTACATTGTACACTTTAAATAAAGTTGTACATGGCATGTGTGCTTTAAATAATGTGTACATACCAATGTACTCATTTATAAATGAGTACATGCCCATGTACACATTTTATAAATTGTAAATGCCACGTTTACTAACGGTTGTATGTACATTTTAAAAGATGTGGCCATTACTCCACTGACCGAGAAAGCTTCATTCTGTTTGTCTGTCCGCACGATAACTCAATACCGAATTGAGAGAGGGATCTGAGAATTTCAGGGCCTTTTTGTATATCATAAAAAGACAGGTTGAGTTCGAAGATGAGCATTCTAGTTCAAAAATTGACTTTAAAAAAAATCAAAACCCACAGGTCACCAAATTTATTTATTTATTATTTTTTTTTTTGGTTTTTTTTTTCAAATATTTTGTTATGGTCTCCTAAGGGGCGACTCGTCAAGGCAGAACCATTTGCCCGAAAAGTTCATCCGTTTTACCCTATCTTGTACTGTTTCGGTGCTATGGGGCATTTCTTCGCGAAAACAACGTGAAAAAGACAAAATGGTCTATTAAATCGTAAACGTAAGGCTTTATGTCACAGAATTGTAAAGGGAGTAATACTAAAACCACACATTAGGGGTCGAACCACATCCTCTTTTCGGCTTAAGGGTCCCTAGATTATCTAGTATCACAAAAACGTTGATTTTTACGTCACAAACTGTCAAAATTCGAACTTTTAATGAAAACTTTTATCGAACAGCAAAAGTTTCATGTGCCTAATTTTAGAGTATAATAAGTCCCTGACAAATGCTGTGAGCATGTCAAATTTTGGGGCCAGAAGGCCCTGTTCCCGTATACCCTCCCACTAACTCGTCTCGGGTGTTATCGCAGGCCTAGCTATATGTGCGCCAGGCGCGTCGCAGCGTAACAGTGTTTCGTGAGATATCGCGAAGCCTGTTACGCGAGACGTGGTCTGGCGTACATATAGCTGGTATAAAGTGTACAATGTCCACATTTGATTTGACAGAGTACAAACGATAGAAAACGATGAGTGTTTGAATTAAGTCATGCAGAGCGGTAATAACCCGCGATGGGCCAGGTGCGCTGGCCAGGTACGAACAATTGATGCTCGTGTTTGAGGAACAGCTCAGAACAGCCCCACGTTCGTTCGAGTTTGATCTAATCCGAATATATTCGATCACCAAACCTGGTCTCGTCACGAAAACAAGATGGGTCGCGCCGCCCTGCCAGGTGCACCGGTCAAACCTCCAGCAAGAGATGGGCGATGGGTTGCGCACCTGGCAGGCGCAAAGCACAACCCCTCAATGAACGATGTGCACGATGGGTTGCGCACCCACAAGGCGCCTGGAGCGCCTTCATCAAGCGCCGTAGGTGGGCGATGGGCGGTGCACCTGCTCCACTGCGAAAAATATCGTCGTAAATTTACAAAAATTTTGTAAACTCGAATTATAATTTAAGCTGTAAATTTACGATTGAAGATTTTTTACCCACCAATGGATTTTAGGTCGATACCAACTGCATGTTTTTTAACGATTTAAAATTGTAATTTTTCAACTTTCGTCCAGGAAAATTTTCCTGTAAACCTACCTACTATTTTTCACAGTGGCTAAGGGATGACTTGGGCAACATTAAAAGTCAG